CCATGAAAATTTATGGCCTTCTTTAAATTGAGTACATTTAGCGTTATAAAAAACTTGAGACATTATTCTCAGTTTCCTTATTTTGCCAGGGTAACTTCCTCATTAACCAGCTGGTTCATAGATTAGTGTTTTGGAACACTAGAAAAATATAGACACACCTGAAAAAACCAAACCCATTGCCATTGAGTGGGTTGCAACTCACAACAACCCTATAAAACTGATCAGAATTGCCCCATAGAGTTTCCAAGGCTGTAAATCTTTACAGAAGCAGATTGCCTCCTCTTTCTCCCACAGAACAGCTGGTGGGTTCTAACAGGTGACCTTGTGGTTAGAAACCAAATGCTTTAACCACAGCTGCCCTACCCACTCTACCACAAGAGCTCTTTAAACACATGCCTAAGGTAGTAGTATTTATTGCTTTCAGAGAAATTCATATATTTCAGTCAGACTTTATTTATTGAACATTCTAGGCAGTGGATTAAAAAAACAATTCCTGATTCCTTTCCTTTATGTATTTAAAAGCTAATGAATAATATACAATATACCCTGATCTTTTACTTACCAATACTTACCGATACAGTACAGCAAGAATGCCTCAGTATGTAGCTAGCAGTGGAGGAGGTAACTAGAGACCAAAAAATAAATAAAATCCAAACTTGCTGACATCGAGTGGATTCTGACTCATAGAAACCCTATAGTTTAGAGTAGAACTACCCTGCATGGTTTCCAAGCCTATAAATCTTTCTGGAAGCAGATTGTCTCATCTTTCTCCTGGGCAGTGGCTGGTGAGTTTGAACCACCAACATTTTGGTTAGCAGATGAATGTTTTAAGCACTATGAAACTAGAGCCCCTTGTAACTAGAGAAGGGCAGCGTTAATCAGGGAATATGTTTGCTTAGTTTTAGGAAAGAGGAGACTGAAGTAGCGAGCTTACTTACAGACTACCAAGGTGAAAAGATGTAAGCCCTGTCTCTGTCTGCCCATGGTTATGCAACTATGTTATCATTGTGTTTTAGTGTAGATTTTCAGTAGAGATCTGCTGGGTGACCTCACCTATGAGTGAGTGGCCCATGAGTCAGCTACTCTTGTACAATTAGCTGTGGCTGGAGGGCCCTGGTGGAGCAGGGTTAAGCACTCAGCTGATAACTTAAAGGTCAGAGGTTCCAACCCACCAGCAGCTCCTCTGGGAGAAAGATGAGGCAGCCTGCTTCTGTAAAGATTGATGGCCTTGGGCATCCTTTGGGCAGTTCTACTCTGTCCTACAGGGCCACTATGAGTTGGGATTGACTCACTAGCAGTGGGATTGGTTTCTGTTTGGAGGCAGTCAGGACCATGCAGGACAAACATGTTTGCTTTCCGGCACACTTGAATCATTTACGTAGCCGAGTCTTCACTCAGCAGCCTGCCATGCTCTGCCAATCTTGGGACTCTCAATGGACTTGAATTAATGGCCTGCTGTGTGGTTTGGTAACATCGGTACTGTGCCTTTTTACTTGTCGACCTTGGGTTTGTCAGTCTTAGCAGCCAGCAGCTGCCTGAGAGAAGAGATACCTCTAACTTCAGTTGGCTGGGAGCAAAAGGCAGAGGTGAAGATCAAGGTCAAGGGCCTTTCATCCAGACCCTAGAGCCTGGCACTTTGAACTCGGACTTCTAGCCTCCAAAAATTGTAAGGATAAACTCCTGTTTGTTAAAGGCATCCCATTTGTGGAATCTTCTGTTAGAACAGTACGAGGTAGCCAAAACAGTTTTGAAGGGTCAAATACTCTCCCCTCTTTTAAGGGGAAAAAGTACCCTACATTCAGGGACATCTATTTTGAAACTCTAAAGATAATATTAACAAATGGCAAGCTGTGAAACACTTGGTTTATTGCACAATGCTTACTTAATTACTAATATTCATTGTGCACTCGTTTTTATGCAAAGTACTCTTCTAAATTCTGGGATAAAGAGGGGGAGTGACAAAGATGAATAGGTTCCTTCGAAAGGAGTTCAGATGTTAGTAAGTACTAGAAGTAACTGGTAAAATAAACTACCTATAATGTCGAGGTCATTTGAACATAAGACTGCTCACTTGTTAACAAGCAAATCTTTATTAACTCATACGCCCATTATTTCCTCTAAAAAAGAGAATTGGTTGTCTAAAAACAAACAAACAAACAAAAGGCTCTATTTGAAGCATCATCAAAGTTCTGAGTCTAAATTAAAATTGCACTCTGTCAGATTTCCTCAACCATAATGTGTATACTGATCACATAGACTACCCCACAACCTAGTTTCAGCTAAAGATTTTCAGTTGCAGTTCTTTCATGTGTCTATCTTTGTCTCTCACTCCTGTTTTGGAGAAAGACTATCCAGGAAAAGGGAGGTAAGTTAACTTTTACAAGTGTTGTACATACACTTAATAACTTATTGTTTTGAAGCCTGGTTGTAAAAGCCTGGGGGACTGATTGGGGGTTGGGAAGGTAGCAAAGAGGTTGGTGAGAGAGGTTTTGAGGGAGGAAACCAGCAGGTGGCGCTTGTCTCCTCTGATCTGATTAGAATGTTTAACCATCAGCCAAGAATCCCATAGGAATTAAGGGCAATGCTGCAAGCCTTCCACCACTGTCAGTCTTGCCATACTTTGGTGATTTGTGTGTTGCTGTGATTCTGGAAGCTATGTCAGTAGTATTTCAAATACCAGCAGCGTCACCCATGGTGGACAGGTTTCAGTGGAGCTTCCAGATGAAGACAGACTAGGAAGAAAGGCCTGGCAATCTTCTTCCAAAAATTAGCCAATCAAAATGTTACGGATCACAACAGCTCAAAACACTGTCTGCCTTGCTTGCTTTAGACATGTCACCAGAAGGGATCAAACACTGGGGGAGGACATCATGTTGGTGCAGCAGAGGGCTAGCAAGGGTGAGGGAGACCCTCAGTGAGAATGAATGGCAAAACAGCCACAAAAATGGACTGGAACATGAGGATGACATAGGACTGGGCAATATTTCATTCTATTGTACATAAGGTCACTATGAGTTGAAGTTGACTCAAAAGTGTCAATGTAAGCAACAGAGATCATGGCAATACTTGCTGGCATATCCATGAAGTCCCAAGTTCCAACAGGTACCTCAAGAAAACTACTGCTGTGGGGTTGATTCCAACTCATAGGGACCCTATAGGACAGAGTAGAACTGCTCCATAGGGTTTCCAATACTTTAAATCTTTACAGAGGCAGACTGCCACACGTTCTTCTGCAGAGCCGCTGGTGGGTTTGAACCACCGACCTTTTGGTTAGCAGCCAAATGCTTTAACTACTGTGCCACCAGAGCTCCTTAGCTTGTACCTAGGCCATTACATTTCTGCATTGCCACTTAAAAGACAGACTGCCCTAATCCAAAGATATTATTATTTATTTATTAATTATTGTATTATTTTTTTCACACTTGACTTCCAGCCCTACTTCCCCAAGCCAAGTCACTTATAGTGCCCACCCAACTTCCTAGAGTTGAGGCTGTAACTTGGGAAAAAGAATGGGATTTTATCAGTCTTCCAGATTGCCCCCATCCCCCTTTGTATGCTAGCCTTAGCACAGGCACCCACTGCTGAGTCTTAAGGGTAGACCATGAATTCACTAGCAAGCTGACATGTCAGTTTCCATGTTCCACAGAGGCAAAGAGAAGCAGCAGCAAAGGACAGTGTTTGATGGTACACAGATACACAGGCTCAAGCTATGACTGGGTTATCATGTAGTTTGGGTTATTGGCTTTCTAATCTCTTTTCCCACCACTCAATTCAGCCATCAGCAAGCTGCACTCCCTCATATGACAATGCATTTTGTCCACCATAAAAACTGCCTACATTTTTAAAAGTACTTCCTTCCTGTGTCACTCAGCAAACATTCTACTGTCCCATTGTCTATTTGCTGGAGTCCAGCCCCGGGGTATACAGGAAGGAGGGCAAATTCTAGAGCTGAAGGCTACAAGCTGGAATCCTGCTCCACCTCTGACTGCATGGGTGACCTTACACAGGTTTCTCAACTTCCTCTGTAGGTTGGGGAAAACAGCTTTACCAGATACTCAAGGGGTTCTTGGGTTAATGAGATAATTTACATAGGCGACTTATACCAGGGCCTTGGTCACTGGAGGCGACCAAATGTCAGCTGTATATCATTACGTCTTCTCTCAAATGAGGTGGCATCTGTTGGGCTGACCTCACAGTGAAAACAGACTCTGGCGGACTTCTGGGTCAAGTTACTGGAGTGACATGTTGAATTGAGATAATGTCACCGCCCAGTGAACTCATTTCATTTCAGATTCCATCTCTGGCCTCATTGCCGTCTTAAAACCAAAAAACCAAACTCAGTGCCATCGAGTAGATTCCGAATCATAGCGACCTCCATTGGGTTTTCCAGGCTGTAAATCTTTACAAAAGTAGATCCCCCCATCTTCCTTCCCTAGAGCGGCTGGTGAGCTTAACAGCTGACATTTTTGTTAGCAGTCAAATGCCATATTCTTAAAACCAAACTCACTGTCCTCGAGTATTCGACCCCTCCTTGGGTTTCCCAGGCGGTATCTCTATGGAAAAGGATTGCCCAATCTGCCTTCCAAGGAGTGGCTGGTGAATTTGAACCGGCAGCCTTGTGGTTAGCAGTCAAATGCCTTAGGCACTATGCCTCCAGAGCCACAACCTCTAGTCCCAGGAGCAGAGAAAAGCAAAGTAAAGGGGTGCTGCCTGACTGAAAGTCACGTTCATGCAAGCAGTCACTTCACTACCCCACTTCCCTTGCCAAGCACAGCGAAACAGCCGGGGAGGAAGGCTCTGGCTGGCTGACGAAGTGGTGGGAGGGAGGAGGGGAGAGCGGGCGGCGGAGGAGGGGAGAGACGCCGAGAGGAGGGAGCAGGGGCGGGAGGAGACACATGCGCGCTGCCGCCGCCGCAGCCGTCCTTAGCTTCCTGGGGACGGGAAACCTTCAAGACCTGCTGCCACTGCCGCCTCCCCACTCTTGCGCGCTTCCCCACACCCTCCTTCCCGTCTTCCAGCGTCTCTTGGTGGAGCACTGCAGGGACTCAGCCCGGCTGCAGCCTGCCTTCCCGGGGAAAGCCGTGACCCCCCGCAGGAGCGGCAGGGCGGGTTGGGGGGCCCGGGGGAAGATGGCGACGCCGGGAAGCGAACCCCAACCTTTTGTCCCTGCCCTCTCGGGGGCTACTCTGCACCCACATCATCATCCCCACCACCACCACCACCATCACCACCACGGAGGAGCCGGAGCCAGCAGCGGGGCCGGGGGAGGGGGCGGTGGCGGCGGCGGGGGTTTCAACCTGCCCTTGAACCGGGGTTTGGAGCGCGCGCTAGAGGAGGCTGCGAACTCCGGGGGCTTGAACCTCAGCGCCCGGAAATTGAAAGAATTTCCAAGGACTGCCGCGCCCGGCCACGACCTCTCGGACACGGTGCAAGCAGGTGAGAGGGGACTACGATACGCGCGGCAGGCAGTGGCTGGATGTGGATGACTGGCTGTCTGGCTGTCCTGCCTTCCCCAACGTTGCGGCCAGTCGAAGATTTGGCCTTGCAGGGGGTACAGCGCCTGTGCTGTACTGAGTCAGGGGCCCGCGCGGGAGAAGGCGAGGTAGCCCTGCAGAGGGCATGGGGGCCCCGCCTCACCCGGCGGCCGCGGCTTGGTGTCCATAGAGCACGGGTGAGCTCGGCCGTTGCTCCCCAAGCGCCCCTGAGGCGGCCGTGCCGGGGGAAGTAGCCGGGGCTGAGACTTGGGTGCGCTGCGTGCGTACAGTGGAAGTGGGAGGATTCAGGCGGCAGCGGTGGCTTCCTGGGCCCCGCGTAGGGGCGCGGACAGCTGAGTCTGTGCCTCTGATCATAGCAAGCCTTCTTTTCATCCAGGCGTTGCCTATCCTGGTGGGGAAACGCAGACAAAGGTGGCGCGCCCTGGGTAGACCCGAGGGCACTGGCTCGGTGCCGCGAGGCCCTCTCCGCGACATCACAGAGCGATTGGTGCCGACTGCGAGGAGGTGCCAAGGCTTCCTCTTCCTGCGCCTGTGCGAGGAAAGGAGCCGCCGGGATTGTAGTGAATCCGAACGGGCATTCGCTTCGGAGTCGATCGACTCTCTTTACTTGCCTGGCGTTAGTCACCCACGCAGTTTTGCTTCTACCAGTGAGGCTACCTAGTTCTCAGTAACCTGATATTTTTCTGGGGCCCTGGAAGGGAAGGCAGGGCATAGTAAAAGTAATTAAAATGAGCCGGTTTTCTTGTGCGAGCCCTGCAAGTTGTAACTCGCGCCAGCGAGCAGCTAGTTTTTTCAAGTTATGTCATGTGTTGACATAACTTCTGAAACGTCTGTTTTCTTTTTGGTAGTTGAGTTACAGGAGCAGGATCTATAAACAGGAAGCAGAGTGTTAGAATGGGATCCGGGTCTTGGGATCCACGCAGCTTTGACTTGGTTTCTGACTGCCCCTTTCAGTGCTTTGGGAAGAGTTTGTGCCATGGTAAGCGTCCAGTATTTCGCAGGGCAGTTGGTGCCCCATTTTGGAGCCACTGTTTGGACCTCTGGCTGTCATCACGTTGTGGCCCGAGTGTCAGAACTCCTACAGTTGATCTCATTGCAGAGTTGTTATGGATAGTTTAAGATTCCCACTTTGCTGGGAGCAAGGGGATGGGATGAGGTAGCAGGCAGTTAGTTACCTTTTGGAGATCAGGTTTCTGATGCCTCTGTCCCCCTCCCCCCTTTTATTCAATAATCATTTATTAAGAGCCTTAATGAATATTTAGATGAGTTCTGAGTTCTTTGGCGTCAAACCTGGCACTACAGGGTCATTAAACTTTGTAATTTGGGTTTAGGGATAGACAGGAATGGGCAAGAAGGAGGGGATTTCCAGAGTTGTGCTGTCAACAGCTGGGGAGTCTCTGGATAGGACCTCTTAGCTAGATCTTCTGAAAGGGAAGTTATTCCAAGAATTGCCTCAATCATTAACTTAAAAAAAAATCCATTATTAAGCTTAACTTCCCTTTTGCCATGGAGTATGTTGTGAAATATGGAAGGTTGGATAGAAAGCAGGAAATATTAGAGCAATATTTGACCAGTAAACTAAAACCAAACTCATTGCCATTGAATCAGTTCCGATTCATAGCGACCCCTCCTTGGATACTTGAGGTGGTATTTTTATAGAAGTAGATTGCCCTGTCTTCCTTCTGAGGAGTGGCTGGTGGGTTTAAACCACCAGCCTTCTAGTTAGCACTCAAATGCCTGAGGCACTATGCTACCAGAGCTCCTACTGTGGCACCAAAGCTTCTTATTTAACCAATAATATGTGTATTTATTTTCAGAAGGTTGGTGGGGGCATGCCTTGAAAGTTGTTCCTTTACTTGAGTTAGGCTGACAGTTATTTTTAAAGTTAGGTGCACTGGAGCTATCTGTTTTGTTGGTGTTTCTTTGAGAAAACTAATGCTTTTCAGAGCAAGGATCACATCTTTCAGTTAAACTCATACCATGTGAAGCAAATGCTTAAAAATATTTTTCTCTCCTCACTTTGCTTGTGTCCTTAGGTTGTGAGTTTTGATTATGAGCTTCACTTCTACCAAACTCACTACCGTCACGTCGGATCTGACTCATAGCGACCCCTCCTTGGGTTTCTGAGGTGATACCACTACAAAAGCAGATTGCCCAACCTTCCTTCCAAGGAGTTTAATTTTCAGAAAATTCTAATTGAAATCGATAGGTTTAATGTTACTCTTGTTGTGTGCTGTCCAGTTGATTACAACTCATAATAACCATATAAGCCAAAACCAAACCCACTGCCTTCAAGTCAGTTCCAACTCATAGCAACCCCCATTGGGTTTCTGAGGTGGTAAATCTTTACAGGAGTAGATTGCCCAGTCTTGCTTCTGCTGAGTGGCCAGTGGGTTTGAACCACCAGCCTTCTGGTTGGCAGTCAGAAGCCTTAGACACTGTGCTACCAGAGCTCCTTACAGGACAGAGTAAAACTGCCTCGTAGAATTTCCTAGGCTTTAATCTTTATAGGAGCAGATCACCATGTCTTTTCTCCTGTGGAGCCACTGGTGAGTTTCACCTGTAGACCTTTCAGTTACCAGGCCAGAGCTTAATCACTGTGCCTAACTTCATCCAAAAATGAAATATTGATGGGAGAGGGGGTCACTAGATTTTTAGAAACTTAAGACAACCCATTAAAGATAAAGCACATTCTACATAGCCAGTTATTTTAAATGGAATTTAAATACTTACATGTTTTAAAGATTTGCTTCTGCAAAACATCTTTGCCTTAGGTCAAAAGCTGGGTATAAACCACATATCTTTTACTTTTTTGTTCAAAAGAAGTATTTACTTGAACATAGTTCCTTATTTGGGAGAGCAAAAAGAAAAATAAAGCAAGAGTTAAAATTACCTCCAGTTTGCACAGTGTTGACATTTCTTGTACATAAAGAGTTTAATAGAGTTTAAAAATGAAAGTAGTAATATACACAAAGATAGTGGTTTCTCTTGGCTAGTGTTTTCAGAATATCTCTTAAAATCAAGATAGTATATGAAGATCTTTAAAGGCCTAAGATGTATTTTTAAAAGTGTACTTTTTCATAAATTTTATAAGACAGGGAATAACAAAGAAAGCTTTTTCTCACTGTTAAGTTGTTTTAGTAGGCCATTTGGTTTATACTTTGGAAAAGTAACTCTTCTGGCAGCCACTTTCCCAGGACTGCAGTCTTTCCTCAAGTGGCTTATCTGAACTGAGTAGAAACCAGGAGGTAAAGAAACATGAAGGTTCTGAACCCCCTCAATTTGTGTCTGAGCTCTCACTGAAGTGATACTTTATTCATAGGAAAGAAGCGCCTAGGCCCTCACTTTGAGCCTGTTAATTTACTTGTGTTTGAGTTAAATTGTCAGGTTTCAGTCTTTAATAGCTTAGGAAGAGAGAGAAAGGCTGGTCCAAGCAGGTTTGGTTGCAGCAAGAAAAGACACTGTCTGAAAGAGAAGAGGAACAAAATAACCGCAATTAGTACTTGGAATGTGTCTGTCACTATGTGCCAAGTACTTTATCTGCATTGCCTTACTCATCATCAATCAAGGCCTCTTCATAGCCTCATTTTTTTTTTTTTTTTTTTTGTTATTGTTTCCAGTTGCCAATGATTAGCTTCCACTCATGATGACCTCATGTACAACAGAATCAAATGTTGTCTGCTCTTGCACCATTTTCACGGTCATTGGTTTCCTTGATTCCACTGTTTTGGCCAATGTAGGGGACTCATTTTCTGGTACTTTTATCAGGCAGTGTACTGTTGTGATCCATACATTGAGTAATTTTTGGAAATACTTCACCAGGGTTCTCTCTTCCTAGTCTGTCTTAATCTGGAAGCTCTGCTGAGGCCTATCCACAATAGATGATCCTGCTCATACATGAAATACTGCTGGCATAGTTTCCAGTATCATAGCAACATGCAAGCCACCCCAGCATGACAAACTGACAAGACAGATGGTGGATTCTCACTTTATAGGTGTAGAAATTTAGATTGAGAGAAGAGGTAATATGCTTAAGATTATACTCCTAGTTAGATGGTGAACCAGTGACTTGACCCTGATGGCCTAACTTTAGTGTTCATGTTCTTGACCATTTTTTTTATTAAGCTGAGTGATGGGTGGAGAGATGCACATGGGAGGCTTTCTGGAGGAGAGTCGTGCAACCAACATTCGTTTAACACATATCTACTGAGCATTTATTAAGTGCCAGGCATTCTTCTAGACAAAGGATTTATAGCAGCGAACAAAAGAGAATCCCTGTTCGTAAGGAGTTTTCACTCTAGTTGGATGTGGAAGTGGAAAGATAAGTTCAGAAATAGATTTTACAAGATGAGGAGTAAGACTTACAATATGGATAAAATGTACATGGTACCTTGATTGATGATTTGAGGTGGCTTGTTAAAACAAGTAATGACTACTAAGAAAATATAAACTAAAGCATAAAATTGGACCTAATACAAAGAAGTAAACGAATGTGTATCAGGGAAGAAGATTTTGTCCTGATGATTTACTAAGTAGTGTCATTTTGGATGAAGACATTTAAAAGGGTGTTATTGTTGTTAGGTGCCGTTGAGTTGATTCTGACTCATAGTGACTGTATGTGACAGAGTAGAATTTCCCCATAGGATTTCCTGCTTCCTTTATGGTAGCACATTGCCAGATTTTTCTCCTACAGAACCACTGAACTTTTGGGTTAGGAGCTGAGCACACAATCCTAGTGCCACCAGGGCTTCTTGAAAGGGTGTTAGTTTGACTAAACCAAAGGGGATTGAAAAGAAGAGAAAGAAGGTATGTGCCTCAGTGTGATTTCAGGAGGTTCTAGAAAACAAAAAGTAAGTCCTTAGACTCGTTCAGAGCACTTGTTGAAAGTTGGTCACTTTTAGAAGGGTGGAACGTGTCTTTGCCAACATCTTTTTGAGGTTG